ACTGTAGAAGGAAGACAGCAGGAAAATTGTGACAATGAATCAAATGTGCTAAACCCTCTTTTTTATTGAAAGCCGGATGATGTGTACAATAGAACCAGGTTGATTATGTAATGTATTGTCAAATGTCTTTCCTGGTTACTATGTAGGTGTTCGTCCCCATCCTACTGTACCAGTGTTGCTAACGTCACCGCGACATCATCATCATCGTCAACGACCGGGGCAGGGGGAGGAGGAGGGGAGGGGTCGTAAAGACGATACTGTCCCTGCCGCTACTGTGAACTATTTGGAAACAATGGGGTGAGAGGTTAACAATAGAGTATTGTTTACTACATTATGATGTTACCTTGCCCCTGCTATAATATGTACATGCTTTGACTAGAGTGAGTACGACACATGTAGCATGTCGTATAGTTGGAGAGATTTCCATTCAGTAGCAACCGTGACATTTCCTTTTGCAGATTCTTACTTCTGCAAAAATAATTGCAGAGAAAAGTTTGACATTTGACATTTGACATTTTTATCCGTCCAAATTTTCCTGTATGTTTTGCACAGCCTCCTCCGGTGCCGACCAGTCACAACTTCACGAAGCAGAGAGACAAGATGAGGCATAAACTGGAGGAGAAGAGGAGAGAGAAGGAACTAAACAGACCCTGTGAGTGTGGACTGCACAGTTAGACACAAGTTATGTGTGTTCAGACAAAAAATCAGGTTTGCTCTGTCTTTTTTTGAAAGGCAGGCATGTAAAAAAAGCTCTGCAATCGTCTACCAATACTGTATAACACAAACACCGTTGCTAATACAATAGATACCTTTTGAAATTCAGAGAAGTGATCGGCCTGCTAACAAAGCATACCAAATTGCGTATTTCTTTAACTTCATGAAATTCACAAATTTTGTGAGTGAAAGTTAAAAATTTGTATCATACAAGTGCTTCCCATTCTTGCAGACAATCCCCAACACAACTGCAGTGAGACTGACTCTCGGCCACTGGATGAACTACTTGCCTTTATTGAGGGAGATGAGGAGGGAGAAGGGGGTGGAGTCTCGTCCGTCTCCATGACTACTAACAACACCTCCAAGCCTGGAAAGAAAAAGAAAAAGACGAAAAAGATTCTCGTAATTCATTCCTTCCATTTGCTTGCTAATTCCATTCCTATCTACAGTTCCCTAACAACCGTCACTCCCGGCAACAACAGAGGAGGAGAGTGGTGGCCACACCCACAAGTCACATGACGGGTCATTGGGTGTGTCAGTGTGTGAGGAGAGAAGAAGATGACGACAGGTCGTCTGGCAAGAAAACTGGCCCAGCTAGCCACACCCACCAAGGTAAGACTACACCGTCACACTTGTTTCTATCTTTAGTAACATTTCTCAATTTA